TTGCAGGGGTTTTGTTAATATTGTGTTGAAATGGTCAAAGGTTGGACACATACACGATGAATGTGTCAGGTACTCTTCCAAGACAGAATCATCCAGGTCCCGTCATATGTTACCTGCTTTTGGAGACGGTGGTCCAGAACCTTTTATTCACCAGCCCCCATTTGGGCTGAAGCGAGATGCGGCCAGCGAGGCAGGTGTATTTATTTACCAGCTCCTGAGAGACTGCTGCTGGTGACCCGAGGCTGGCAGACTCCTAGAGGAGCTGAGGGCTCTGCCTTATGTTCTTGTATACAGGGGAGAAGCTGCTTTTCACCATGGATCTTGGACCCTTGTCTCCGTCTGTTTGAACTTGAGGTCCCCCTCCATCTGTTTGAACTTGAGGTCCCCCTTCTGTGAAGTGGGCCGTCGTCTGGGGTCTTGTTAACTCAGGGTTTCATTCCACAGGTGACACGTGGCTGTGCAGCTGGCCCTCTGTGTCTGTGGGTTCCACACCCACCCATTCATCCTGTCGAAGATGCACAGGGAAAAAAACAACCTTTGTGTTGAACAAGTACAGGCCCTCTACTTGGCTGTCAATCTCTAGACAGAGCAGTGTGACAGCTGCTTACACAGCTGCACTTGCCGGAACTAAGAGTCATCCCGAGGTGGCGTAAAGGCTTCGTGAGAGGTGACTAGGCTCTTCAGATGCTGTGCTGTTTCACCTAAGAGCCCTTAGAGTCCTGGGATGTGGATGCCTTTGGAATCGGCCCCCATGGAGCCCAAGGGACCACTGTCTTCCTCTCAGAGCACTAGAGGGATTCTTATAAGGCTGGCTTTTTGACTGAGGTTCTGCGTCTCCTTCTCCTCCCAGTGAGTGACCAGGGCATTCATTCCATACACTCTCTGGTCCCTTTGTTTTCTAGGTGCACAGTAGTGGCATCATAATCCCCTGCATGTGTTCCCTCACTCCTCCCGTGGGACACGCTTTGCGTGACTGGCAGGGGAGTCCATCATCCCACAGTGAAGAGCCACACTGTCTCTTTGGGTGACCTTTGTGGGGAGGTCCCTTAACCCTAGACGTCAGTGAACTTAAATGGGCTCTCAGAGGGGGTGGAGCTGCTGGGAACTAGGTGATTGGCTATCAGGATGGGCCATGAAGATGAGCTTGCGCATGAGAGGAGACTGACAGAAGAATGGGAGAAGCTGACTTTCAGGCTCTTGACTTTATAACAGACGCCACCTGGGCATTTTGACCCCACCTTTTCCTTGGCTCCTCTTTGACATAAAAAAGCTCATTTTATGGAGGAGGAAAACAGGGGTGGACAAGTTTAATGGCACTTGTATTGCCACTCAGCTGCGGAGAGGAGCTGGGCCCACCTGGGCACTGGAGCGAAGACTGGCCCTGCCTGCCTCTGACAACACGAGGTAGAGTGTGCTATTAGTGAGGCTGGGCTGCGTCTGCAGGGTTCATGGAGGAAAGAGTTTGCTATGCATTCATCTCCGGGGCTAACTAGGACAGGCTGCCTGGATCTGAGGGTCCTGGGTGGCCTGGGCTGTGCCCCCTCTTCTGGAATGTGTCAGTCCTGTGCATTCCTGAGTCGACATGGTACTGTGTTCTGTGGGCACCAAGAGTTTGCTTGGAAAATGTGTGGCACCCACATCTGTTACCTCTTAGAGAACAGAAAGATTGACAGGGACCTGCTGGGGCCTTTTGTGGGGGGACTGAGTTCAGGAGTATGAAGTCCCAACGACAAAGAGGAAAATCCCTAGCCTGCGCCAACACTCCCCAAGGCCCCACTTTGATGTGGTTTTCCGTCCTAGAGGCCTTATAAGGCAGTGTGCCTGTGCCTCTTAGCTCGGGGCTGGGCCGGCTGCACACCAGTGACTGGAGAAGTTGCTTTTCCTGAGGCCCAGTGAGGGGTAGAGGCTGGCTCCCAGGGGCAGCAGAGGGACAGCACTGGGCTGGGACTGTAGAGGCACATGTAGGCCACATGTCCTAACAGAATACCAAGCCAGGCCTCTGGTCTGAGGCCCACAGTCCTGGAAGCCTGAGGAGATGGGGCCTAGGCTTTGGGACCTAGGAGTTAGATAGTTCTCTGTCTAAGCCTCAGACTCAGGCCTCCTACAAGGGAATACGGTGGTAAGGGTCGGACTCTGTCTGGTGTGTAAGAGCTATAGCATTGGCAAGTCACAAGACTGCTCTGCCTTGGTTTTCTCATCTATAGAGTAGATATAATAACAGCATACCCCACAGAGGACAGCTAAGGCTGGTTAGTTCCAACATTTCTGGCATGCACTGATAGCTGGTTGATTTTGAATACAGGAAGCAATGGGTAGTGACTGCTGATTGATCTTCCAGCGCAGAGGCGAAGCACTCCCTTTCTCCTCAGAGCCACCCTGGAACTGCTGTGGGCCGTAGCTGTGGACGGGGATCCAAGGCACATGGGAGGCGGAGCTGCACCTTCTAGACTTAGCTTGTGCAGTGAGCTGCATTTGCACCACCCCCTACTGCCTGATCCCATTTCTGTGCCCTCTGCTGCAGGCCCCATGGGGCTCGTTACAGCTATGAGGTCTGAGTGCACAGTTCCGACAGCACCTGCCTTCCTATAGGAAAAGGGAGGCTCCAGGTCTGTGGCTGTGTGGAATGGGCTTATGGCCAGGCTGGAGCAAGGACCAAGTCCACACCACAGAGCAGGAGGGCCTAGCTGTGCTGCTCTGACTCCCACTGGGAAGACTGGAACAAATGGCCTCTGAGCCACCAGAGCCGATAGCCAGGCCCTGTTTCATGCATTGTCTGTTTGAGATAATGTATAGCCCAAGATGGCCTCAAATTACAGTAAAAAGGGTTCTGCTCCCTTCCTTTCTTCCTCTCTTCCAATCTCCTCCTTTTTTGCAGTTCTGTGAGTGGGACCCAGGGCCTTGCACATGCTCTGAGTACTCTCTCATTTCTTAAAAGATGAACAGAGCAGCACTATTGCGCTGGTCAGAGGAGGCTATTTAACATGTGTCATTACTATCTGCTGTGTAGGGAGTGTCCAGTGAGTGTTAGCTGTCCTACCATAGAGTGGCTCATACTGGGGCCTCTGTATAGATAAGTCGCCTGGAGCCCCAATGCTAGGAGAGCTCAGAAGCCAGGGCATGACCCAGGGTTGGTTCACCATGCTGCATTTCCCTGGGCCTAGAGACCATGAGCACTTATGCCAAGACCCTGGAGTGGCCCAGGGAGCACTGCAGTGTGTTACAGAGCATATACTTTGTGTGAGCTCAGCTCCTGCAGGTGTGATCTGTCATTCGCAGTGGTGGTGGTGGGTCTGCAGCATCAGTGGATGGCTTCCTTGGCTGCTCTGTTGGGGTGATACGGCAGTAACACCAGCAGAAAGTCACAGAACCTCAAAGGCTCATCAGTGCCAGCATCCTTGCTGTGGTGCTGTCTGGGCTCTGGGGTCAGTGCTGAGCCCACTCTCTCCTAGGGAACTCAGCGTGAAGGCCTTTGGCCCCTTAAAGCCTGCTGCTGCTCCTGTCACAAACACTGCCTGCTATTCTTTTAGGGCTGAAGAGATGGCAGCAGTCTTTGTGGCATGAAAGTTGGGATTTAATTGGATGCTGGGGTGTCCCTGCCATCTGATGATGCCACCTGTGTGTGCACCTTTCCTGTCACTGTCTCCAGATTCCCTGTCAACTCTGGCTCTGTTAACACGAGCAGCCAGGTTACAAGCCTGGGGAATGTTCAGTGATTATGATAATCAGCAAGAAGGGGAGTAAAGTCACCAGGGTTTGAAGTAAATGGGACACCGGAGCAGGAACAGCCGTGTTTCAACCACCCTGAAGAAGGAGTGCCTAGAATGGTCTAGGCTTCATGCAAACAGAGAGCTGTTAGTCTCTAAAACAAAAGTTGACATTAGAAGCCACCCTGTGGCTCTAACCAGTGAGCCACACACTGCACGCAGAATCCTTTGCTGTGCCATGTCAAGGCAGGCCTGGATGGTCTTTAAGGATCTGAAGTGCCGAGAGTGGATGGTTTGTACCCTGTGGAAGTTTTGCCGAGGCAAAGGTTTTTGTGGTCACAGTGAGGCGTTGATAGAAGCTGGTGTGTTGGGGCTTTTCTGTGCTTGCCACTTACTGGGATTTAGAAGCATCATCAGGCCAACCATTGTGACATTGGGAGAGGGAATATGGCATACCCATCCCTCCTGACCTCTTTTTCCAAGACAGGATGTTTGCCCCACACTGCAATATATAGCAACGGAGATTCACATGTTGATAACTATAGTGAAAGGTCTTGTTTAACCTTATCTAACTAATCTTAGGTTTCATAATTTTGCAAGATATAGTCTAATCTTTATGTATCTCTAGTCTACTGGGGTGAGTCAGACATTTGGGGCTTTAGTTTCTTGACATCCCAAACTTTTCCTAGCCTGTAGGAGAGCAAAATACCCTTTGCCAGTATGACAGTAGCTGAATGGCAGCTTGACAAGGCTGCTAGAAAGGACCCCTGCCACATTGGCCAGATCAGGCATGTGCCAAGACCAGGCTAGTGGGAGGATGGGACATGGGCAAGATGTGGAGGCCTCAGCGAGGATCACTGGAGTCACAGCATACAGGCTCAGGGCATTGGCCAATGTGTTGGTGCGATATTTGCCCTAGAGGGCAATAGGGATTTACCAGGGAAGAGGGCACAGAGAGCCCCGTCTTGTTTGGAGGAAGAATCCAGGCTGAGGTCTCAGAATCCTTCTGAGTCTGTGGCTGTGAAATCAACTGGGAAGGAGGAGCAAGGGACACCGATCTTACCTGGCATTCCAGGAAGGGAGTGGACTTGGTCTCTGGGAGATGGGGGTCCTGGGTGGCTCCTGGGCAGTTTCTCCCAGGGTACTTTGCGCACTGAGAAGCCACTTGCACTATCACATGACTAGATCCATCCTATTGGCTTGGCAGTTTGTGCTCAATGTCACCTGTCCAGTGTAGCCAGGTGGGTTCCTGCTGGGTCCCACTGTCTTGTAACCCGTTGCCCTGTCTTCCCCCAGGAGCTGGTGGGTGACACTTCCAGAGAGGCACTCGGCGAGGAGGACGAGGGCGACTTTCAGCTAGAAGGTAGGTCTTAGTAGCTCTGCCTGTGGCACTAGGGTGGAGCAAAGGCTCACCGAGCCCAGTAGGGGAATGGGAAGCCCTTCACAATACTCCAGGTTACACCCACACCCTGTGCTCAGGAGCTACCAGACTTCAGACAGGCCATCACAGGGCTACCCCCCTCCGGTGTCAGTGCTAAGGAACAAGTGTCCGGCTGGATTCTGCACATAATAGTTCTTTCCCCGAGTCCATCTATGCAGTGCTCTAGCATAAACACACCCAGCCTGCCTCTGGCCTCTTGCCTGTCTCCTCTGGTCCCTCACACAAGACCCCTCCTTTCTCCAGAAGTGCCATACTGTAGAGCTAGTGACAGTGGCATGGACCCAGCCTCTAGTTTGTTTCTGGTAAGGCCTGTGTCCCTGTCCGTAAGATAGGAGCTAGTGCCTCTTGCTCTGCAGCTGCCACATGGCTCAGCTGACTTCCCATGACTATGACAGACAATAGTGGAGAGGGCTCCACTCTGCCTGGCACTCACTATGGGAGGAGAGCCTGGCCAATGTTGAGCAGCCCAGGAGAGCAAGGACCCTATTTGTTCTTTGAAACCCTTGGAAGAATTCTGGACCCAATTCTCACTTGAGGCTCTCCTGCTACTCCTGTTGTAGTGGCCCAAGCCCACCCACACTGGGGCAGGGATATGGCTGGGCATGGCAGGCTGGCAAAGGCAGAGAGATGTCCCTGAGCCCTGGCCACACAGCCATACACCTGCTGGCTCTGGGGCTGTGGTATCCTCTATGCTCCTGGCCAGTGGAGAAAACTGGTTCCTGAATGTCGTCTTTGTCTTTCTGTTGGCCAAGCTCATTGCCTCTTGGCTGCTGGAGAGCTGTTTAAGGGAGAAAAGGGCCATGTGAGGCGTGAAGATGAAAAGGAGTCTCTGGCCATCCCAGGAGAGGAGGGCTTTGGCTCCTGGGTTGTTCTGTAAAGCTGCCCCTAATCCCGAGTCTTAGCCGCCTTAACTGGCCAGCTGGGAGCGAGGCAGGAGATTAAGGCTGGCTCGGTGTGCAGGGCTGTGAGCTCCTTTTGAACTTGGGAAAGAACAAAGTAAACATCAGAGGTTCCAAGCTGACTGCAGGCCTGTGTGGCAGGGTGTGGGAAGGCGGGGGACCCTCCTTCTGGGAATCCAGCAGCAGCCAGGGACAGGAGGAGCAGCCCCTCACTTCCAGCGCCTACATGGCCTCTCAGGCCTGTGCCCTGTGTGCAAGTCAGTACTGGCTTGGTAGACAGGCATCCAAGGGTGTTCTATCCATCATGGGCTCCCCCTGACTTATGTGTGTCTCCTATCCCCAGGGTCTCCTGTAAGCATGGATAAGGGAGTCCATGAAAGCCCAAATAAAAAAATACCAAATATTTATCTGGGGAACACTCATACAATAAAGGTTGAGAGCTGCCATGGCCTTCTGCCCTAGGGGTGCAGGAAGCTTCGATCAGATCTCAGAGCACCACCCAAGAGGGAGCATGTGTCTTCTCTCCCTTATCAGTTCACATGTGGCACCTGAGACCATGCCTTAATGGTCCAGTACCACACAGGCTATTGGCTGGATGAGTTCCCACAACATGTCACCTCTCGCCTGAGGCTGCCCCTACCCAGCCCAGCCTCCTGGCTCTCTTCTGTCTCAGGACTCTCTGAGCAGCGTTTCCACCCACCCCAGTGCCCACTTGGCATCTGCTGTAGAAAACTAGTTTTTCAGAGCCTGCAGCCCATTGGTTCTTTACTAACTAGTGAGGCCGTCAAGGCTACTGAACTCTGTCCCTCTCCTTGGGCCCGGTCCCTTCTAGGCCCCCCAAATAGAACTTACAGGAGCTTGGTGTCTGGGTAAAGACAAAGAGAGGCCTGGGGGACAGGGAGAAACACTGGGCACGGGGCATTTGGTTAGGGATGCTAGTTTGAAAACCCTGCTGGTTATCTAAGTGGAGGTTCTGAGGGGGTCAAGCCACCTGGCTGCTGGGGACTGGAGTTAAGGGACCTTGGACTAGAAGGTCAGGCAGGGTAAGGGCCTCTCAAGAAACAGCCACATGCAGCTCCACTCACCCTTCCAGGGTAGGTCCATCTACAAGGCTGGCTGGCAGTGCCTGGAGGCTGAGGAGGCCTCCGGGGAGCAGCAGGCACTCTGGCTCCTCTCCCTGCTTGAGTTTCCTGTAGGCTCAGCAGTCACACTCCAGTCCCCAGCACCTCTAAGCTATCTCCGCTGAGTGAGCTTGACCTGGAGTCTCCCCATCTGTTCTCCGTGAATGTGCAGCATGGACAGTGGTGGCCAGGTTTGAAAGCTCATCTGCTTCCTGGGCTTTCCCATGGGTAAGGGGTGACAGGCAGAATGGATGGACTGTAGCAGGCTCTTACCACTCTCTCTGTCCAGGGTCCCTGCCTACACTCATGCTGTCCCCTCAATTCCGTGCAGGCCTCAGAGCACGAAGACCAGACAGTGTTTGTAGGCAGTTGCCACCTTTCCCCCAGTGCCTCGTCCCTCTGGAGTGCAGGTGTTCTGAAGTGGAATCAGTGTTGGAATGTGGGCCCAGTGGTGGCCTGTGGAAAGGGAGTGTGCACATTTGGAGGGGAGCCTGGGAGTGCTGGGGGCTCTGCTGGGCAGGTGTCTGTCTGCTGCCTGGGATGCGGTAGTGGGTCCCAGTGAAGCTCCTCAGTCCAGAACTCTGGGCTCTTTGGGAAGATCAACCAAACTTGCTTTTAAAATTGAAAATCTCCAGGATAGGATTGCTTAAAAAGCCAAAACCTAAAAAGCTAAAATCTGGACCTAGGAATGCAGATGGCAGGCAGGCCCAGTATGAGCAGATGTGCACACACACACCTGTCTTCTGTCCCTCAAAGTCTGAGATGAATTTTCGGGAGAGCATCGGGAACATCTATCCATGAAGGGTAGGCTAGTGTCTGCCCCTGCTTCTTCAGTTCCTAAACTGTCCCATCAGAGAGGATCACTTGGCCCAACTCCCCTCCCACCCAAATTTGAGCAAAGACACAAAACTGCAGCACCACGCTGTCCACCCTACTACGAATGTGGAATGTGCAGTGCTGTCCTAAGAAGACATGCTTCTGATGCTTTGCAGAAATTCTGCTCTCATGTTCGTAACCAGGGAAGCTCCAGGTTTGTGTGATCTGACTCTAGTACAATGGCGGGGCCAAGGATCTCTCTCTCTCTCTCTCTCTCTCTCTCTCTCTCTCTCTCTCTCTCTCTCTCTCTCTCTCTCTCTCTCTCTCTGTTTCTCTCTAATACAGGGTCCTGGTAGCCTGGCGGGGGGCTCAAACTCACAGTCCTGCCATAGCCTCCCAAGACAGGCATGGGCCACCTTGCCCAGCTTTCAATTTTGCTTTTTAAGCTTCACTTGCAATGTTGTGAAATGCAGATGGTGACACTCCTACACTGTGTTAGTAAGGACTTAATGAGACAACACGTGTACCTGCCAACATGACCGGCAGTGCCAGGCTGGCGCGTCTGTGCACCTCTGGAACCCTTCCCCTCATGAGGCCTGCGCCAGTCATCCAAGAAACCATTTGGCCTGGAATGCACACACGATCTTTCCCCTCACGGCCACAGATTTACCCTCCTAATTATTTTTGGCATAGGCTAATATTAAAATCCATCTGCATCCCCCCCCTGACAGCTGCTGCTGGAGGTCTGGAGGCCCAGAAACATCCTGGCAAGCCACCCGTAGACCAGAATATTTGTCACAGATATTTTGTGTGGACAATTGCAGGGGATCACGAGCATGTTAGGGCGCGCGTCCAAGCTTCAGCACGGAAGCCTGGCCTGTGCTCACGCTCCTATTGTATCTGCTTGAAAATGTGTTGGCTATGCAGGTGGAGAGTCGTGTGCCACTCTTGATGGTCATTTCTGCTCTCTCCTTACTGATGTTGGGTCTCAGCTGCCTTGGCCATAACCTGGTTTCTAGTTTGTCACTTTTATCCAAGCTTGCTGTTAACTAGGCTTTTGTGGACTGTGTTAAAATAAGCTAACACTGGCTGCTGTCACCTGAGTTTGGGTTTTGGGCCGTTTTTCAACCATCTCCTACACCAGGCCTCCATGTTTGCTCAGGCCAAGACTCACAGCATCTGTCTGTCCTAGCTTACCTATGTCTGTGTGTAGGACATGGCACAGCTGGGCTCGTGCCTGCAAAAACCCCCTACTCTGCTTGGGTACACAAATGTACCAGCTCCTGTGGGCAATTCAGGGGTAGCAGCTACCAGGGACCAGCTTCCAGGAAGTACAGATACAGAGCCTGCTGGGAGGTCCTCAGACGGCCCCAGATAGGGATTGTATTGAATGAATTGCCAGATTGAGTGGAAGCAGACCACGCCCTGCCAGCTCAGATGCATTTGTACCAATTAAGAGACAGCGCTCAGCGCTCCTCCTTCCACACCTGCCTGTCTTTTGCTTGAGAAATGTCAGAAGCAGTACACTGTGCACAGCTCTGGTGTTGTGTGAATGACACTTCTGGAACCAAGCAGTGCACATCCTTCTCACAGTCTGTCTCCCAGCAACCCCAGATGATCCCAGTGATCCTAGCCACAGGGCAAGAGCCCTAGGTGAGCATGCCCCAGTGCAGCTTAGGGGGGACTGCCGCGCAAGGAGGACCCACTTGGTTCCTAGTCCTCTTCTCCCCCTGCTGTTTGGGTGGCGCCAGCTGTCAGCGCTCGGGCTGGGTGGGCTGTGCCAGGCTGCTGTCTGGGTCACTACTGTTTGCCAGGGTAAACAGTCCCCAGAATGTGATGGGGACTCTCCCAGCATGTGATCTCAGAGGTGCCTCCTATTAGCCTGGGGGGAGGGGAGGTTAAGGAGTCCAGGACCTAATCACAGCTGCCACCTCTCCCTGGTTCCTAAGTCTCTTCCCTTTCTCTTCCTCCTCCTCCTCCTTCCCTTTTTTAGACTGGGGGAGGGGAGAGGAAAAAGGCTGTCTTTGATCTCAGTGGAGGAAAGGAGTCTGTTCTGTTCAGGCTTTTGGCTAACACAACAAACAGTGTTTAAAATTTAACTTTGCTTAATTAATTAGTAATTCTGTTTAATGCTGTCTGATCTCCCTCCAAAAGGTATTTTGAAGCTTGAGAAGGGAACTTCAAAGGGAGCCGGGTGAAGATGGTCAAGTAATGCATTTAATCTGGCAGTTGCTGGGGGTGGAGTGCGGCCAGGCTGGAGCTGATGCGTAGAGAACGAACCATCATTTGCAAAATCAGTCAGCCAGCCCTGGTGGCCATGGCTTCTGCGTGAGAAGGACAGAAAGCAACTTCCAAAGAGAAGGAGCCCCACGAATAGCCCCCATGTCCTTCTGGGCTAAGAAGCAATTTAAGAAAATAGAAATGTCATTTTGTCCTCTTCTGTGGCCATGATGAATGACTGAGCAGGTTGGGTACCACACAGGGTTTCCAGTTAGCCAAACAGTAAGTCACAGATAACTCCAGGCTGTGCCCTATTTTCTAAGCATATGCCCTGGAAGGGGTGGAGGACTGCCTTTGCCTAAAGCAGCAATACCCAAAGTCTGGGAAGGACCAGACAGGTTCCATCTTAAAGTGCATGGGCCAGGAGGACTCGTGCTGTGATTTGACTCCACTCTCGTGTATGCAGCAGAGGCAGCCAGAGACTAGTGAGTGTGCTGTCTCTCATTAAACTTCACTTGGAAAGCCAGGCTGCAGACCCAGGGGCTCACAAGGCACAGTTGACACCCTGCTCCGTATCACCAAACATGCTTCTTGGTCAGTGGAACTCATTTTTGCCCTCCTTTCTCCTGCCACATTGATGGTGTGCCCTGCTGTGGCTCTCCCTGGCAGTCGGAGTATGCTCAGAGTGTATCAGAAATATGTGTCTGAGACTGGCAGCCAGTTAAGCAGAAACAAGAAGCAGGGGGGGGGTCTTGGTTACTAGAGTCCTTCTTGGCAGCATAGAACTGTTCCTGGGTATGTGACTTGGGTGGCCTGCATGAGCAGCATTTGCTGTCTGGCCTTCATGCCAGTGGCCATAGCCAAGTGGAGATGCTCTGCTTAGCTGCCTGGGCCCAATGCTGTTTGCCTTGGTTTGGTTTCAAAGGGGTCATCTGTGAATCCCATGCCGGTTGCCAGCATCCTACCCCTCCCTCTGTGTGGGCCCGTGTGACTTTCTGTGGGTTCTCTGCCATGTCTTCTGGCACTTGGTCAGGGGACAGTAGAGGTGGAAGGTCTTCTTTGGTAGGGTGCAGGGTGTCAAGGAGTCTCCCTGGGCTTGCAGCCCTGGGGCAGCATGTCTCTGCTGTTCGTCTCTGTCCTCCCCAGGCTGGGAGGATCTTCAGGTTCGCTGACGTGGCCACCTGGAGGTATCCTGGAGAAGAGAGGACACAAGAAGATAAAAGGGGGTGCTTTCTACCCCAGGTGGGGAGAAAAGAAGGGAGGGCCGAAGGAAGGCATGTGCTCTCTCATGGCAGCCAGGGCACTCCAGAGAGAACGGAACAGCGGTTCCTTGTCTTTGGGCTTATCAAGTGGAACATGAAAGGCAACATTGAACCTGGAGGTGCTTGTCTGATAACTTCCCTTTGAACTTGAAGTCGGGTTTCGATAAGCCTGGCCAGCTCGCATCAGTAGGACCTCTGCCGAGCCAGGCAGTGGCTTTGAAGATGGAACTCAGCTTTGTTTTGCTTTCTGCTTCCTTCTCTCTCTGGGAGCGGGAGGGAGGGTTCTGCAGGCTGTGATGTCTCTATAGTTCCTACAAAGGTGCCAGATTGGGGCAAAGGAGATTGTTCAGACCTGGCTACCAGCCGGGGCTAGGGCACAGTCAGCAATTATTGAGCACTTGCTGAGTACCTACCATGGTGTTTGACCAGCAGTCTCCTCACAGTTTTCTCCTGGAACTTGCTTGAGGATGCTGTCTGCTGTTACCCAGCATCGTTGCGAGAGAGACAGCACCCTTCCTCCACTGTCTCCTTTCTTAAAGCTGCCTGGGTAGGAAAAGTAGGAGCACCGAATGCCACTCTCCCCTGGGGTGCTCCTGCACAGCCCAGCTGTGTCTGCTGGAAATGTTGGCAGCAACCAGAGCCGAAGCCTCAGCAGAGCTCCCTGGTTCAGGGGTAGCGGGAGGGCCGCCTGTCCTGGTGTCTGAATGACATGGCCATACCATGTGCTCTGTGTGGGCTTATGGTAGCACCTGTGACCCAATGGGCACTAAATAGATTGGGTAATAGGTGCTTGACTGTCTCTGAGACCCTGGTGAGTCATCAGCCTGGCCTTCCTGGACTCAGGGTCCCCTGGAGGAGGATATCTGACCGATAGAATCAGGGTGGGACTATTAAGGATGGAATCCAAAATACTTGGGGCCAGTGGCTTGGCTAGCAGTAAGGGTGCTGGGCCCCAGGAGACTTCTGAGGAGGTGACCATTCTAGTTTTGTGTTCCTTGTCTTTACTCTGCAGTAACCAGACCATTCCACAGTTAGCAATTTTGATAGTATCAGGGAGCTGTTGCCTCTCTGGACACGTAAGGGCTGGAGGATCCTATGGGTACTGGCTGTGCTGAGGCAGGAAGAGAGAAGAAAGAGGCTCCCAGGGGACAGAACCACTGCTCCAGGCCAGTTTGTAGTTGGCTGTGGTCTCCTAGAACTTGAAGTATTCTTATGCTTTGGTTTTCCTGTCTGGAAAGGGGAGCTAATCGCAGTAACTGCCTCGTCAGGTCCGAGGGACGATAGAGTCAGTGAATAGCCAGAGCTGGGGGCTATGGGGCCCGGTTACTATGGGAGTCTCTTGCCCAGGCTGTGATCGCTGGTTCCAGGGTACCACGTGGACTTCTGCAAATAGACATCAGGAAGAGAGCTCTGACTTGGAAAGTATGAACAAAAGGGGTGCCCCTCCCCCACTGCACCCCCTTCCTACTGTTGCTCTTAGGTGCTCATTGCAACACTGGGATATATGGATTGAGTGGGGTGGGGACCAAGCCCCACTTTCCTGGCCCGTGCCTCATTTTGCCAGGATCCTGGCATCCCCAGAGAGTTCAACTGGAAGTTCAGTCTGGCTGAGCCATCTTAGCTGCCCTCAGGCAGGGTAGCCTTCTGAGGTCAGGAGCCATAGCTCAGTTAGTTTCCCTTCAAAATAGAACAACAGAGTCACTGTACTGGGGTATCACTGAACTTTGTGGAAGAATCTTCTAGAAAAGTAAACTGAAGGCCCTGTGTCACATGAAAAGGGTCAAAGGACTTCTGTGGGACATTCTGTTACACGGTGAAACCTGTAGCCTGGGTTCTGGGTCTGGCATGATGGTGTTACCAGACTGGTACCTCTTGGACACAGGAAAATGGTGCCAGTGGGCCACAAATTTCCCATCTCCCTCTGCTCCCGAAAGTCAGATGAATAGAGGACCATGCCCTTTGGAGGAGGGGAGGACCCCAGGTGAGCAGAGGCCAAGGTCAGAATGAGTGCGATCCTTCAAGAGGCCATTGTGCGGTGCACGATGTTCTTCCACACATACACACATACCCTTCCCCAAACTCAGTTCCTGTCCCCCCTCCTGCCCACTAACAGGCTGAGTACATCAGCATCTTTGAGGGTACCACAGTGCAGGCATAGGAGGCAGTGAATGCAGAAGACTGTGGTCCCCGGGTCCGCAGTTTGTCCAGTCCCTGAAAGCCTCTCCATGCCAGGGTGCTGAATCTGCAGGATGCTTATGCAGACCGTGAAGTTGGGCAGAGTAGGAGTCAGAGAGGCCACTGGGAAACCTGAGTAACTGGTGCGGCCGCACCACAAAGGCTTCCTCTGGGGCGGCCTGTGGCATCACCAGGGCCAGAGAGTCAAAGGACATGGCACACAGCCAACAGGCAGGGCAGGAGGGGCCCAGCGCTCTTGGCCGGAGGACACAGCATAGCCACGCTGGTGCTGATTTCCTCCTCTTTCCCTGTACCTCCCCACAGTGGCCCTACCACCCCAGAAGCCAGACAGCCTGGGCAGTGGGGATGAGAAGAGAATGGAGAAACTCAGTGACCCTGGCCCCGGCTCCAAGAAGCAGCTCAAGTTTGAGGTAAGTTTCCTTTTGAGGGCTGTGATTCACGTGGTGCTCTAAAAGGGGGAAACTGAGGCCTGTCTAAATGGAGGACCTCTTACCTCTTATGTGGATAGTTGCTTCGGTGGGAAATCCTTCTTTCTGCTGCCTCTGGGCCATAACACCTCAGCCATGGCCTCTCCACATGGCCAGGATACACTACCAGGACCTTACGACAACGTGTAGGTGTACATGGGAAGACAGGACTCTAGTCCTTGGGCTGTTGCCTTCTTTTATAGGATCCTCAGATTCCTCAAGCCTTCCCTTTCACCCCATGACCTGGGGCATACGGGGCCTCCCATGGTATGGAAGAAGCCAAGATAGGAGGCCCTGGGCAGGGCCCCATTTCTATCTGGGCCTCAGTTTCCAAACCACATAGACAGCACAAGGGATGGGCCTTCCCAGAGCCCATTCTCCTGCCCTTTTTTGACCCAAGCAGTGGAGCAGAGTGGGTATCTGAACTCCTTCCAGGCACTAAGCGCAGGGCGAGGGCTCAGAATGAGGCCGAGTTCAGTGGAGGAGGTTCCCCTCACCCTCACCGCTTCACTGAGAACCTGTCCCTCCTTCCTCAGACCACAGGGCACAGCGCTGCCGTTGGCACAAAGCTGTGAGTTCAGGTCAAGTCCCTTCACGTTTCTGCCTCCCGGGACTGTGGGGTTAGTGTGTATCTGCAGGGTTCTGGAAGCATTTGCTGCTCCCAACCCAGGGTATACAGTGGGTTGCCTAGCTCAGAATACTGGGACTTCCCTTCCTTCCCCAGTGCTAATGGAACCCTATTGCTTGCCAGGAGACCAGCAGTGAAATGGGTATGGTTCCTGGTTCCTGCCCTTGCAGATCAAGTAGTGTGGTCAAGGGACAGACAAGTGGCATAGCTAGTGAACTTACTGTGTGATGCATATGTGCAGGTGTGTGTGTGTGTGTGTGTGTGTGTGAGAGAGAGAGAGAGAGAGAGAGAGAGAGAGAGAGAGAGAGAGAGAGAGAGAGCATGTGTTGTATCATATCAAATACTTCCTCAGGAGTAGAGTGGGCACTTGGCTTGGTAGGTGTCCTATTAACATGCCATGGATGAGGGAAGGCTGGCTTTGAACTCAGCATGGCTCACTTGAGAACTAGAGGAAACCAGCTTCAAGCTGCAGCTGCTGCAAGCAGGAGAACCTTGTCTGCCATGCACACTCCAGTCAGCAGGTATTTTCCCTTGTGGTGGTGAGGCCTGTCCCCATGCTCTCTGAGCTGGGACACCATGTCTGCACTGACTACTGTCATTCTATTGATCAGATCACATCTGGGTCTTTGATGCCTGGCCCTGGAGGGCTGTCCTTGGCGGAGAAGAACACTTGAGGTGGGAGTCTGAGGACTGTCCCCATGGCAGCAGGGGAACTAGGAACCCTGAGCTGATGGAGGGTCACATGGCGAGGGACTTAATGTTCTGACAACCTTACAGGACGAGGATAGATACGATCATTTTCTGGATTTATATGAAAGGAGAATGGAGCCTCAGAAACACAGGGACCTGCCCAGGACGGTGCAGCTGTTGGGGCCATGCCAGGAGGAGTCTGGACAGACTGGGGAGTTTTACCTCTTCATGTCCAGCCTGCTGCTTCCCAGTTCAGTTGCCAACCTGGGATTTTTGTCTGGCTTCCCAGTCACCGGTCGCTGTTGCCTTCCAGAAAGTTATCACCTTTGGTTGAAGTTTGGCTTTGTGAGGCCTCTGTCTCCTGTCAGATTCCACGTGTCTTCTTTGTCTTTGAACACTAGAGATTATCGGTGCCCTGAGACCTGTATGCCCTGCTCAGGCTCTGACCTCTTTCCTGGCTGGTCATGCTTAGTCATTGTCCTTCTGCCTTTTCCAGCATCAGGTAATGCTTTTGTTGGTAACTGAACACTTGTCTTTCTTTCTGTGCAGGAGCTTCAGTGTGATGTTTCCGTGGAGGAAGACAGCCGACAGGAATGGACTTTCACTCTCTATGACTTTGACAACAATGGCAAAGTCACCCGTGAGGTAAGTGTGCTGCAGCTATGCCCTCGGGTACAGGAGTCAGACTCAGCTTGAATCTGCTGCCCCATTTCTTGCCTGGTGGGGGCAGGACTATGGGAAGACTGGAGAGAGGCTGCTGGGAGTATCCTGAAGGGTGTGCTGGCACCTCACACAGTCCAAGGTTGGGGGTACCCCTCCAGGGAGAGGTGGGAGACAGCAGCAAAGTCCACGGGCTTCCCCGAGAGGGATCCCAGGTTGCAACAGTCTACTTCCTTCTCCTTGCAGTCCCCAGTCTCTAGCAGCCACCCTTGGTGGATTCAGTGAGGGTCCAAGGCCACACAGAACAGGAGCAAGCAGTAGCTGTGGCTACTCTCAGCCCCTCTCCCCTTTCGGAGCCTCCTACACCTCCTCCCAAGTCTCCCTCACTCTCTCCACTCTCCATGCCTCTGTCTCTGCAAATGGAACACCAGCTGTGTACCAGACTGAGCACTCAGCAGGTCAGACACAGTCTCAGCTCTCCCTGTGTTGCTCTGACAACCCAACGGCATGGAAAACACCAAGGGGACAGGAGGGAACAGTGGGGGCAGAGAGCAGCTTCTTGGAGGGACAGCCCTGTGCTAAAATGGCTTAGCCATGCAAGGCGCCTGCCTGGGAGTGTGCCCGTCTAGCTGATCTCTGGTTAATAACGGAAGGAGGCTGGCCTGTGGCCCCTTTGCAGAATAGATGTCTAGGGTCTTTTTAGGGCCCTTCAAGCAACCCAGATTTCATTCCAGGTGCCAGGAAAGCTGAGGCGGGCCAGGCTCAGCATCCTTCCCTCTCACTCTCCAGGCCTTCCTGCGTTATGAGGAGGGGCCTGTTAGAGGTGGTGCTTGGCACCTGTGTGGAGATGTAAGAACGGATGTGTGGGCTTTGTACCCTCCTGTGGTCCAGCATGTGGGCCTGCAGTGTCTCCTGAGGCATGAATGCTTGGCTTCCATGTCTCCTTATCCCAGTCAGGTTGGGACAAGTATCAGCTTCTCCAGAGCATGTGCAGGAAGTCACCTTTAAACTGTCAGAGTGAGATGTGGCTTACAGAGCCTGCCTCTGTCCTGGGCTGTAGCTTGGGGGATGAGAACCAGGTGGGAGGAGGAGGCTGACGGATGTCTAACCTTGCGGGACCCTGGCCTGTAAGTGATAGGACCCTAGCTCATCCTGTTGCAGCTAACAACGAAAGGAATTGGCTCCTGCACCTGAAATTCAGATCTGGGGGCTGACTTCAGCTCTGTGCAGGACCAGGCATTACCCATGCTCCCTCCAGTCTCATCTTACTGTATACACTCTCCGTGGCACCAAGTGCTGCCAGCTCTAGCCTGGATCCCTCCCTCTCAGGAATTCCTCCCATCCAAAATATCCACACAGAGCCCAGAGTCACATCTCACTGGCCTCTCAGCCGGCCTGGATGCACAGAACACACAGGTATCTGTGTGGCATCTTTGTCCCACAGTGAAGATGGCCAGCCCTTAGCGACTGCCTTCTTCCTTTCTTCCTGGTGTAGAGATGCTGTGGTTCCTCTCATGCATGTCCCTCACTGCAAAGTCCTTGCAAGAAGGAACATGGACAGACACTCCTTTCCGTTTTCTCACTCACGTCGTTGGTGATGAGAGGCCGGAGCCGCAAGGAAGGCAGGTGGTCCAGCATAGCCTGAAGCAAGCCTCTGGGCTGTGTTTTCTGAGAAGCTAGGATGCTGGCTTCAAGTTGAGGTCCCTGCCTGGTCCCCCATCCTCATCTCTAGCCACAAAGCTCCTCTTTAAACCTGCTGTACATTTCTCCTTCTTTTTTTTCCTAGTGTGAGTGCATGCATGGATTTTGGTGTGCCCAGGCAAACAGGCTCCTACCGCACAGCATCTGCTGCCTGGAGCCCGTGTCTGGGCTGTACATGTGGACCTTTCAGGCTCTCAGACATATAGGAAGCATTTATGGTCATCTGTGTCAGTCAGCTTTCTGTTGCTGTATCAGATATTGAACTACTCGACTTAAAAAAAGAACAGGCTTACTGCAGTCCATATCACTTGGTTCTGCCGTCTTGGGCCTGTGGCAGGGCAGCACGTTCCGGCAGGTGTGCATGGCAAAACAAAACTGCTCACTTTGGGGCCCGGAAGCGAGAGGAGAGAAAGAGAAGACCAGGTCCCACAGTCCCCTTTAGGAGCATGCCTCCAATGGCTTAAAGGCCCACCACAAGGTTTTACCCCCTAAAAGCCCTGCCAGCTCCGTATGCCACCCCGACTATACCGACTTCAGAAACAAAGCGTAGCAGCCGGTTCCTGTGTGCTGGACCCTGGTTTTTTAAGATGGCGGGAAAGCACTTTAAGGCATAGAGCACTTGAAGAATGTTGGCGGTGGCCCTTGGTTTCCTTGTTTGTCACCTCCATCGTGGCTTTTGGAGGTAATGCAGCTGGAGAGTGGGTGGCAGGACTGCACAGGTAGCTATGAGAAGGACAAGAAGAACTCTGTGAGGCCTCGCCAGAGTGCCCGAGACAGCTGAGTGCCAGGAGGGAGCAGCTGGAGGCTGTCTCAGGCTGGCGCCCCCCCCCACAGTCTGTCCTGCACGTGTTCTGGTCTGGTCTCTCAGAGGCTTTGTTAAAAGTGAAATTGGTTGTCAGTGTTTATGATCTGGGATATTTCTCAGAAGAGTCTGGATTTCTGGCTTCTCTGAGTAGCCTCATCTTGTAGAGTCAGCCTAGTAGAATGTCCACCATATTTCACGGGTACGCCTACGCCATGATGGGCCTCCATGCTTTTTGCCCATCACACATCTGCCTGGCTAGAGCATTGCTAGAGTCAGTCGTTCACCTCTGCCTCAGCCTAAGGAACGCCAAGGCCATCAGAAGTCGTGAGGAATTGTTGGGCAGTACCTGAGTGTGCCTGGTGGATAGCGTTTTCTAAAGCCAGTGGCTGTCCCTTAGACAGCTGACCACAGATACCCGGAGCACAGAAGCACTAGTAAGGGGGCTACTTGTATTCTCCCAGTCCAGTCAGAAGGCTCTGAGATCTGGAATCGCCATTCTAGTTTAATAGGTAACAGGCCAGAAATACTCGGTCAGCTTTGTCACATATCAGGTTGTCTTCAGTGACACTCACCTCACACTTCAGCGGCTGAAACTGATCCTCTTACATCCTGGAGGCTGGCGCTTAGGGCTCCATGGGGAGCGCTCCCTTCCTAGTCTGTGGATGGATGGCTGCCTTCTTACAAGGAGAGACGAGTGAGGCACAGAACAGCACATCTATTCCACCTCCCCTCCTGCATCCCCTCCAGGACCCCACTCACCTCCATCACTCACCAAGTCCAGCTACACTGTCCGTGGAGGTGGCTTCCACAGAGGGAAGGGTGGAAGCATAGTCCAGTTCAATGCAAGGACAGAATTGCATTTCTGTTTTCCCTCTCAGAGCGTGGGTATGTAGCCTCACTGGGTGCCTTTCACCTAGGAGGGTTGAGAGATAGGTTTTAAAGTCTTCCTCTGCCGGGGTGAGGTGCCTCAGGGAGGCTCCACACCCTCCCTACTAAAGGCCCCCGTGGCTCGCAGTCACGTACCGCTCTGACTTCATGAATCCCCCTCCTTTTGCGCTCTCGCTCCTCATTCCCTCCCTGAGATTTTTTTTTTAGCCACACCCACCATTCTGCGTCCAGCCCTCTTTGAAGGAGCCAGGGGCCTTCGGCGTGGCGACAGACAGTTGGTGACTCCCAGGTTAAAGTACGTGGGGCGTCTGCTTCCTCCCAAACAGGACATTACCAGCTTGCTGCACACCATCTATGAGGTGGTTGATTCGTCTGTGAACCATTCCCCCACATCAAGCAAGACCCTGCGGGTGAAGCTCACTGTGGCTCCTGATGGGAGCCAGAGCAAAAGGAGTGTCCTTTTCAACCACACTGGTGAGAGTTGACAAAATGGGCACCCATGCTAGGAAAGGCGGGAAGGACCCAAGTCAGCCTGGGAGGGTGGGAGGAGACCCAGCTTCCATGGACAGTTGCTTGGTATACTTAAGGCTTCAGTGGGCCTCTGTCCTGGGGGGGGGCGGGGGGCAGGGGTTGCTGATGGAAGGCCCTATGTAAGCAAAGGCATAGAGATCAGACTGGGTGTAGCAAGACGCTACCGGAACGTGTAGTGGAGAGAGTGGCAGGCCAGGCCTTGGAGGCCGAATCTGGAGAGGTGAGTGGGTCAGGCAAGCCCACCCAAAGTTACCACAAAGCTGTGGTGAAGCGGGTGGGTGGTGTTTGAAGGCACACTGCCAGGCAGTCGCTGGCGGAGCAGGAGTAGGTACTGACTAGTGTTTCTTGGGCTTCTGGGGTCCAGATCTGCAGAGCACAAGGCCCCGGGCAGACACCAAGCCTGCTGAGGAGCTTCGTAGCTGGGAGAAGAAGCAGCGGGCCCCCCCTCAGGTATGGCATTCACAGGCAGAGGCGGAAGCCTCATGCCTCTGAGCATACATTGAGCACCAGCTAGATACATCCATCTGAAGGACTTTGAGTAGCAGGCTCTATTCTGGGTCCTTTGTGGGGCTATGGATTTATTCCAAAAGCACAGCTTTTCAAATCAGACTCTGAATTTAAAAACAAAGCACAGGAAAACTCAAACAACCTCCTCCCGAAGCTGTGGCCCTTCACTGTGTTCCGTATAAGAATCCTTCAGATCCTCTGCATGTGCTCTGGGTTAGCGTGTGTTGGTCGTTCCTGACGTGTTGTGCAACATAGATGGGGCTAGGGCAGCACCTTGGGACCCAGCACAACTGGTATTTCTACCAGGGTCTATGTGCACATGACTTCACAGCAGTGAGACAAAGCCCAAGTCTCCCAGCCCTCAGGATGGCCTGGCTGTTTGGAGGGCTGGGAGAACCTTCATTTTTCAGGCTTCTTACTCTCAGAATTGTAGGTTAGGGCTTGTGAATGTGCAGTTATCTGTCCCTGTGTCGCTTCTGCAAAAACAGAGGGAAGGTGGGCTGTTTAAAGAAAAGCTTTCCGTGCTGGCCTCGGGGCAGCAGGCAAGTGTGGGATCTTTCACATCTGGTGTCTAAGGGCATGGCTGGAGAAGGACCAGTCCTTGATGTGACCATGAAGAGACAGAACGTGCCAGGGCACTTCTGGGTGGGCAGGGGACGGGGTGGGAGGCTCCAGGCTAGCTAGAGATGGGCGCATTGAGTAAAACATGGGGAGATGGGACAGGTGGTGGCAGGTGGCAGGGAAAGGAAGGCACAGACTGAACGGTTTCTGTCTCGGGCCCCTTCTCCCAAGTCACAGAGAAGAACGAGTGATGAGCTGTTGTGCATATGTAGCTGGCAGCCCGGTGGTTTCCCAGAAGACTTCGGGGCCTGTGCCTTCTTCCTTAACAACCTTTTTGTTCACAGGTTCCAGGGTGACAGCCACCTGGAGCAGCCAGGCTGCTACCATCATTGTGTAGATGAGAACATCGAGAGGAGAAACCACTACCTAGACCTGGCGGGGATAGAGAACTACACGTCTCAGTTTGGACCCGGTAAGGGACTGCTGGATAAGGCGTATACCCAGAAACACGGTGCTGGGTAGTGGCCATTGTTCCCTGAGGACATGTCAGAGGCTCTTCTCACAGGAGGTAACATTAAAGATGTTCTCAAAAGGAAAGTAATACTTGGGCAAAGCTGAGTGACACCCAAGAGAATGAGGGGGCTTCAGACGCAGCAAAAGCAGCAGTCGCACCCCGGCACCACAGCTCTGGTGGCCACGTGGTCCAGGAAAGCGCTGCCCTGCCGGCCTCTGTGCTCCCGGGCCTTGTTTCACTCCTGCTCCCTCCCTTCTGTGTGCATTCTCTCTGGGCTTCCCTGGCATTTCCCTGTGTGCACTTAGAATGCTCCGCCCACCTTACTTCATCCTAGTCATCATCATCTTGCATCACCTGTCAGCAGATGGGAAGGTTCCCTTTCCTGTGGGGCAGTGAAGGGCACTAGAGGGCCCGTAGCTCAGACAGAGAGGCGATGGCCCCCCAGGGCAGCCCAGTGCACACAGTGGGCACTCACCCAGTATCTGTTGGATTCGTTCCTAGGCTCCCCTTCGGTGGCACAGAAGTCAGAGCTGCCCCCTCGAATCTCCAACCCCACTCGCTCCCGCTCCCATGAACCAGAAGCCGCCCACCTCCCACACCGGAGGCCCCACGGTGTGGACCCGGGCTCCTTCCACCTCCTGGACACCCCGTTTGCCAAGGCGTCAGAGCTCCAGCAACGGCTCCGGGGTACTCAGGATGGGGGCAAGCACTTCGTGAGGTCCCCCAAGGCCCAGGGCAAGAACACGGGAATGGGCCACGTGGCCAGAGGTGCAAGAAGCAAGCCCCCATTGGTGCCCACCACCCACACTGTGTCCCCCTCTGCCCATTTGGCCACCAGTCCAGCCCTCCTCCCCACCCCGGCACCCCTGGGGCACAAGAAGCACAAGCATCGAGCCAAGGAGAACCAGGCAAGCTGCCGGGGCCTGCAGGCCCCACTGGCCGCGGGAGGCGCCACCGTCATGGGGCCAGAGCAGGTGAGGGAGCTGCCTGCTGTGGTGGTGTATGAGAGCCAGGCTGGGCAGGCCGTCCAGAGACATGAGCACCACCACCACCACGAACATCACCACCACTACCACCACTTCTACCAGCCCTAAGCCCCACCCGGCCGCCACGTGAAGGACCCATCCCCACGCCTCGAGGCATTATTATTCTATTAATTATTGTTATTATGACAATTATTGTTATTAATAATTATTGTTACTCCACTAATATTTAGCTAGCCTTCATGTAGAAGATATATGGAAACACAGAACTAAACTTTTATTTATATGTTGTGGGGATTATATAACGCACCCAGGAAGTGACTCTGGGTTTGGAAGGGTCCTTGGGCCACCCCAGCGGCAGGGTCCACGCAGATCTTCCCAAACCACAGGAGTCCTCGGCCCAGCCACCCCACTCCGGCTCTTCCAGGAGAGCACCCTTGCCTGGCCCAGCTTCAGAGACCCTCGAGAGCTCCAGAGGGCAACAGCTGCTACCTCTCAGTGTTATTCCGGTCTGACTTCGCCCTTAACTGATTGTAACGTGCTACAGGGGACTTCAGTGGACTGCCATCGCGATGGCCTCTCTGCCCTGGTGTTTCACGCCTCAACCTAGACACCCTAGCTGTGGAGTCACTGCCTCGCCTTTCCAAAGGGAACATGCCCAAGCCAACCCCATCCCTTTTGGTTTCCATGCACAATGTGGAAGTGCCCCTCTCCTCCTGTGCCCCCCTTTGCTTTTGAAGGATGTACCTGTGTTTGAGGATTGTCCTTGAAGCCAGCCTTCTCCTTTTGGAAACTGCTACAGAGAGAAGCAACCACATAAGGAAGCGTGCTTTCCCAAAATGGCCCCATTGCATGGTGGAGGGTGTGAGACCCGAGTTTGCCATCAGCAAATACACGTTGTGGCTCTCTGGCCGCCTTTGTATCTATAGGTAGATGCTGCCTGTCCGTGTCTCTGTATCTTTCTATAAATACACTCTCAGGTATCTTTGCTGGCGTGCAGAAGTCAGTGCACTGCTGTACGGAAGCTCCTGCAACCCATGTGCTTCTTGTAAGGGTCGCCTGCCCATCAGAAGCAAGCAGCCACCCCCCCCCCCAGAAGAAGAGGTCCTTTCTTGGGTTTTGAAACCTGCAGTTTTGGAGAAACCTGCTTGGGTATAGGAATGGGGGTGGCAGCTGAGACCCTGGGGCAGCGTCCTTCACAGAACAAGATTTTATCAGACAAGGGCCTAAGGAAGCCAGAAAAGGACCACTGCCAAGTAGTTGGGACCCCTAAGTACAATAGATGGTGTTTCCAGGTTGAGTAATGTGAGGAGGGCTAAATTCAGGGTGACTGCCAACACTGGAGCAAAGCCCGACGGACAGCAGAACCCAGACCAACTTAGCCACCCCTGTACCTCGAAGGTGAGCTTGAAAGGCACCTAGGAGCTGGGACCTTCATTCAGCGAATGTGACAGGGTGTGTGGAACCCAGGAGTGGGTGTCCTGACTCCCTTCCCTGCCTCTTCTACATGCTTCTGTAGTGGCTTCTGCTGAAGGTCTTGGGAGGGGTAGGAGTTACATGGGCTTTGATTCTTGAGGGTCCAGAGCAAGTCTGACCCCGCAAGGAAATGATCACAGCTGTCCATCCACCCCTCTGTCTCCGGAGCTTAGCATGGTTGGTTAGCATGTGTCTGGAGGTAGTGAGCGTTAGTTGTTTTTATAGTGTTGATTTTCCTGGTTGCTGGTGTGCTTGGGACTGATTGATGCAATCTTCAAGACGTTACTGTGAGGAAGCAGGAAGTAGAAGTCCAGGGACTTGTCCAAGGCTCAGAGAGGCCAAAACCTGCTGGAGACACACGGTAGGTGGCAGTGCTGGGTTCTAGTCTCCAGGGTCCCTAACACCGTGAGCCCTGGCTCTTCCTCACATGAAGCTGTGAGTTTCTGTTTGACTAGAATACAACGCACAGGAGGTGACCAGAACCAAACCAAATGGGCAAAGCATTGTGGGAGCTGGCTTGGAGATGACAGGATCCAGTATGAATGAAGTAGAGGTTTTGTTCCTGAGTCCCGTCCCCTGTATCCCCATCCCCTGTGACACCCCCCCCACTTCCCTCGCCAGCAGGCCTGAGCTACTGACGTTCTGGGCCCGGGATCAGGAGGAAAGAACTTTGTAGGAGACAAAAGCCTAATGAGGGATTGTGATTGACTGCATTTGGAGAAGGCAGTCACCCCGGATCAGTCACCATGGCCTATCTGCTATGTGTCCACTTGTCACAGGAGGCAGGGTCCGCACATGACAGCAGTAGGGCTGGGGGAGAGGGACAGCAGCAAAGCAGAACAAAAGCAAAAAACCCAGCGGCCTCCAGGCCCAGCGTTGCCACAAGCAATTCTGCCTCGGGAGTGGGAGCTGCTGGCTTTAGGCCCTCGGCTTGGGGAAGGAGGTCCCCTGCTGCTCTGGGATTTTGTTACTTCTTGCTAACTTTTAAAAGTCACTTATAAAAATAGCGTTGTGTTCACCCGTAAAAGCCCATAGAAGCTTAGCGTAAACGGCAACTCACCGAGCTCCATCCCAGCATCTGTGTCCAGATGCCCTCCAGGACGCCGGGTGCAGTGTGGTGGTTGGGACATAGACCGTGGCCCCGCAAGACCTGACGTGAAGCACTATGCCTTTGTTTCTCCCTTGCAAGCACCCTCCAGATGCTGCTGTCTTCGTTACTAGAATAAATGCATTTTATAGAATAACTCCCATTTACATTTCGTTAATTTTAAGAAAGTTCAAACATAAGAGTTTGAAGCAGTCGTGTTACAGTAACCTTGAACTCGCCACCCAGAAGTTTCAAATGCTGACATTTTGCACTATTTCTTTCTGATCTATTTTTAAGAGAGAAAACCCGACAGTTACGCTCGGTCCCCTCCCCAGCCTGTTCTTTTATTTTTATCCAAGGAGGAGCATAGTGTTCATTCCAGGCTCTTTGCTCTGCAGCCCAGTGCACTTGGGGACCTCCCCCTGAGTCACTGAACTCTGTCCCCCTAACAGCTGCTCAGCCCTCTCTTGCTCGGGGGCACTGTCACCTCCTGGCAGGCCTGAAGGTCGTCTCTCATCCTCCGCTGTGACGCGCTGCACGGAGGGTCCTTGTATACGACTTGTCTTGCTGTCTACTCGAGACAGAAAGTGGCAGAAGGTGTCAACATTGGGCTGCTGGTTTCAAGAGCACGTGTGGTGTCCGTTTTGAAGCTTTTGTTGAGTGACCTCTTAAAAGTGGTTATAGCAAATAATTAGGAGGAGCCGGAAGGAGAAAGGAGAGAGGGAGGAAGGTAGACATAGTTGGATCCTGTGTGTAGATGTGACCCAGTTCCTGGGCACAGCTGCTGCTTCCCTGGCCCCTGAGCTCTTAGCACCAGCCTCCCTGGATCCTGGAGAAATATCTGGGTTTTTTGGATTTCGGGCATCATGACCATGATGAGCACAGGGTGCGGGGTAGATGCCCACTTTGCTCTCACCTCCCATCTGGGGAGCACCACACACCCAGCGATGCCAGTCAGGCGTTTTGGCAAAGGGCGTAGCCGGGACCTGCTAGCCCTTCTCCTTTGCCCCGTGTTCCTATCTCAGACTGCTGCTAGACAGGGGAAGTCGGAAGAGTGGAGATTCCTGTCAAAGTCACACTAATGAGCAGCCCCTGTGACTCCAGACCTAGGCTCTGGATGCCACCCAGTACCCTCCGCTCTGAGTGAAGGTCAGGGCTGCCAGCCACACCACTGACACTAGGGGAGTGCCCACTCCAAATTTTCCAAGACAGCCTTGCCCTTTGCCCAGGCTGACTTTAGCAACCCATGTCCTGGTGCCGGCCTTGGTTTCCTTCTGTTCCCATTCTGGCAGGGCTGTCTATAGAGAGTGGAGATGAACCTGCTGCCTGCCTTACTGTACTGGATGCAGGCACAAGCATCCTTCCCACCATTAAACTCTCCCACCCCAAATTTCCCCTTCATTTGGGCTCTGGTCTACTCTGAGCCAGCGGAACCGTGAAGCCAGCCTCTCTTCTCAGGAGCTGGTGCCCTTCCCTGTCCTGATACAATTTCCTCTGAAGGGCTCCCAATACGCAGCATTTGGCCCCAGGAAGTGGCAGGGTTTAGCTTGGACACCCTGCTTCCGGCTGACTCAATGGGCAGTTTGCTTTCCCCCAGCCTTCTAAGCAGCAGAGGAAGCAATCCTGCTACCTGTAGCCCATCAGTGTGGCGGCCAGGAGTTACTCATTGAGGCCCAAGTTCCTCCAGATGTGACTTGGGAATAGGCCGGCCTGTCAATAGCTGGAGGCTGCATCCAGAATCACCTGGAGGAGGTTTCAAAGGCCAGTCTTTTGGTCCCACCTCTGATGATGCTGATTTTAGAGACTGGGATATAGCCTGGCCATTAAGAGCTCAGGATCCCAGATGCTACCCTACACAGCCAAGGTGATACTCTAGAACCTTGCAACATCCCCTAGATAACTTCAGAAGGCCCTTTGAGAGAAATGCTTGAATTCTAGGACTGAAGAAGCATGTTAAATATAGACTCCCGGGCCTACCCCCGGATTAGAGTGGTAGGTGGCTTAGGGTTAGTATACAGTAGGGACAGTGGTTTTTAACAAGGTCCTACCCCCTGGAAATGGTGGTGTGTCTGGTCCACGGTCCATCCTGAGAATCCTGGTGGCCCATGCTTGGCTCAAAGAGTATATGTATTGAGATAGGAGGGAGACAAGGAGACACACCCCACCCCCCACCCCGTGCTCTAACGGGACCCAAAAACTCCATGGAAATCAGAACAAGTGGTCATAACCCCTGCAGAGGACCAGGCCTCAGTACCTCCATTTGTATGGGTCAAGTTTCTCTCCTAGCTGTGCTGCCATTGGCTCTGAAAAGCCCACCCACCATTACCACAAAACCACAAACATTCCAGAGAAGTGGACTTCCTGAGACTCAGTAGCTCCCAATTGGAGTGGTCCGCGTGACACGGACATGGACACAGTCTTTGCCCTCCTTCACTTGAGAGGAGATCTGGCACTGAGATGTGTGTACACTCTTTAAAACCTCTCCCCCTGATTCCTGCACATGGCTCTGGAGCCCTGGCTCAAGGTTGACCTGGAAGCATAGCGCTCAGTATGGCCACCAGTTTGTTTACAAGCCTGTGGCTGCCGGGTCGCTGTGAGAGCCAGGTTTGGGAATCATGTTTGGGTAGACCCCTCTCCCCAAGAAGAAAGGTAGGTGGGGAAGCCATTTGGGGCTTCCTTCTCAGAGTGATAAGCAAAAGACCTTACAGGCTCTCAGCATTGACAGGATTATTCTTTATGTCCACAAGCGTTCTGGCATTACTCTTTTTCTTGATATTTCCAAAAGCAAAATTCCAGGTGCATTCATCAAAGCTGACCACTAAAACTGTTGATCCTTTTCCAGCCAGGCTGTTCTTCCTGGAGCCTTAGCAAGCCCAGCAGAGGGCAGCAAGCAGTGTGTGCCTCAGAACCTGGTCCTGAGGGTCTGTACTGTCTGCAGGGGCTCCTTCCGAAGAGGGGTTCTTCAGGGCCCAGTGTGCAGTAGGTGGTTAGTAAACAGGAGACGGAACAAGATGGGGAGGGAGACGAGACACTTGCTGCAAGGCAACAAGAAAGGCCATGGCTTCGTGTAAATCATGGTGTCTTCCCTGCTGGTGTCTTAGGGAAAGTTCATGGCCCCATGTGAGTCATGGCATCTTCCCTGGTGGTGTCTTAAGGATAAAAGCATTGCTATCTTTTGATTTTGTTTTGAAAACATGCTTAAGATGTAGCGCAGTGACCACGTCCAGGAGGAAGAGTCAAAAGGGAGCTTAGAAACTTGCAAGTACAGAGTATTAGAAAATGCATTTTTTCAAAAAAGTTTTGTGTATGTGCAGTACCTATGTATGTGTATGTATGTGTATGTGGTGTGTATGTATGTGAGGTGTGTACACGATATGTGTGTGTGTACATGTGTCTATGGTGTGTGTATATGTATATGTACATGT